AAAAAAAAAAAAAAAAAAAAAAAGTATTGGATGGGTAAATCAAGGCGGCAACTGACCCGATACTGAACAGCAGGTTGAAGTCCAGATAGACGTGGTGCACTTGGGCGATGAAGACGGCAGCCGCAGCCTGATACAGAGCCGTCCCGTTCATGTTTATGTTGGTCCCGATGGGCAGCATGAAACGGGTGATTTTGTTGTGAATGTTGTTGTTCTTGCAGCAGTGTAAAGTGACCGGCATTGTGGCAGCACTTATCCGCACATGAAAGGAAATAAGAACAGAGGTGTTTGCGAATGTGACCGCGTTCAGCTCGACAGGGGTTATGACGGCGCGATAAAGGCCGAAGAAGGCAGCGGACGAGGGGTCACCTGGAGGAGAGGAGCAACGCAGTCCGCAGCGCAGGTAGGACCCCACGGATGACGGTGAAGGGGTTACTTTGCGCAAGCACAAGATAGATCAGAGGCAGGATGATGGCTCCGTGCAAGAAGAGCCTGAAACCAGTTGTAAAAAAAGAAAAAGTCAGTCAAACAAAAGTGGTACATAAAATACAACGTATTGCAACATATCCACTTTTTTTTTTTTATCAGCACAACAACCACAAACTTCACATGAATGGAAATGGCAAACGACAGAACTGGAAGTGTCCGAAAAAGGAAGCGAGAAGCCCCGCTGCTCTAGTTGTTCGCTTCGACAATTAGTATATTCGAGGTTCTTGACGGAAAGTATTTCCCGTAAGGTGGTCATCGGTGCATAGAGAGACAACCCCCATGTGATCAAGTTAGGCACAACCTCTCCACATGGAGTTTCCGCCCTAACACGTCATGTTATTCCCTCATCAAAACACATACCTAGACTGTTTACCTTGATTCTTTCATGCATGTTTGAGAAATCCTTTAATCTGCCATGGCAACCATTCAGTTGCACAAAACACCTGGTTGGACCCAGCACCACCTTCAAGGTGCAGCTCCTCCCTCTCAGAGCAGCCCTCCCCCTCTGTGGCTCCCCCCACTCAGCTCCTCAGCAATGAGCAAACACCTGGTGGAACCGCTCACCTGAGGAGCGACGTTGTGATGACTTCTTGAAGGCAGAGTTTGAGAAAGAGCAGGAGTTTTCAAAGAGACAGAGGCCCAAATTTAAGGAGTTAAACCAGGAAGTAAAATTTCTTTTAAGTTGTGATTAATATAAATTGCATTTTATGACCACTGAAGGTAACATAGTTACTTGGCTATGCTATAAAGTGGCACAGTGTGCCTGGAAAATATATAATACTGCCCCTTTAAATGTGATTTGTTCATTTTTTTTTCTCTTGCTCCTGTTTCTTCCATATGCATTTACAACCAGGCTATATTCACGAGTATAAATTCCATGTACTTATGAAGCTAAATTTCGTCCTTGACTATTTTTATATAATCTCAAGAAAAAAAAAAACAACAACAATTGTGTCGCTTGTTTATAGCACTCTGTTAATTGCTCATGTGACATTGTTTTGGTCTTTAAAGAACTGGCCCAGCTGTATCTATGTTTACAGTTGTGAACAAGCGACTTCCCACACTCAAACTTTTTTATGAATTAGAAACCTCTTTGTCAGTATGGATGAAAATTAAACTGAAAAACTAACAAGCAACTTACCCAAAAAGAACCAAGCCAGTGAATTTAATCAGATCAAGGGCTATTATCCAGTCATTAGTGCGGGAAACCTGAAATATTGACATGAACAGGACTCCCACTGGCAGGTAACTGTAGCAGGAAAAAAATACAATTCAAATGCTACCATGAGAAAACAAATGACAGATGTTGAACAATTTTACGCACTCACCGATTACAGAGTTCAACCCTACCTGCGAATCAAATGGAAGAAATCGTCAGTTATCTGACTGATGGTGCAAATCAGACGCACTATGACCCGCGACTCTTCCATCTCGTTGAATGCCAGTCCAGACATAAAAGAAATGAACAAGAGGCCGAGAACGTCCACTCCGTAATCGTAGTGACCTTCAAGCTCCATGCCAGTCTTGTTCTGAAGATTTGGAAGGAGCCATGTCAAAGCTGAGGTTGACCTTCGTCGGTCGTCACAGCTGATATATGCTGAAATCACTCTAGACCAGAGTGGTTACCTCGATGACGCCGGCGTTTGTGGCGACTCCAGGAATGGAAAATTCCCTCTTCTCCAGACGGTACTAAAAAGAAGGGGTGGAAATTCATGTAAAACACAACATTGAATCAAAACTATGAAACTAAGTCTGAAACAAGCCGTACGTGTTTGACAAAGGACCGCATCATACTGTCTGGAAAGATGTTCCTGTAGAGGCAGAGGAAAAATTGAACTGAGGAGAAAAAGAGCCTTGCAGGGACCTACAGAACAAACAGCTTGCAAATGTCCTCCCACCTGTACAAAACCAGGAAGGTCTCGATCGAGAAGAACTTCTTGTCGTTCATATCTTGGACTTTGAATCCTGTCTGCACCGCCCACATCAGAGTCAGTCCTGCAACATACACGCATGATAACGCATAACGCTGTTTCTTTGTTGAACAAGCACACTGCCTTGCAAAAGTCTTCATACAAGCTGAATATTTTCATAATTTGTCACATTACAAACATGTTTTATTAAAATGTAATATCTTATTACACACCGTTATTAGGACAGGTTGTGCTAATGACATTTTTTCTTGAGACGGAGATTTGTAACGGTCCTCTCCCAAGAGCCTCTTAGCTACGTCTCTGGTTAGTAATCTAATTGTCTGAGCCTGAATTTATTTGAAGGTATCAGGGCAAACACTCTGACTATGAATTCAAGCCACACTTATTTAGAGATTTGTTTTACATGAAACGGATTAAAACAAAAATGACAAAGTGAAAAGCTGCAAGAGGTGTGATTGCTCCTGCAAAGCTCCAGAATCAAACATTTGATCAAAAATAAAAAATAAATAAATAAACCTCAATAAGCTTGATTTCAGTAGTGGTAAATAATTCTGTTTTGCATCTTTTCTTTTTTTTTTAAAGGAAATTTCTCTCACCGATGATCACAGCGATCAGAGTTGTTGATAAGAAATAAAGTCCTGTGTACACGGCAATTGTCTTGGAGGGTGAGGTCTTGAAAGTGCGAATTCCTGTAAGAAACAAACAGAACTGAACACCGTTGCTCTGTTGCTCCAGATCTATTTAAAGTTAACTTGAAAATAGACATCCGTTTCATCAACTTGACAGTAGAGCTGCTACGTTTCATGAAGAAAAATAGTCATGCTTAGCCCTATCTTTTTTTTCTTTTTTTTTACTTGATCCTCCTTTTACTTAGTTTTATTATCTGTTAGTAGATCCATGCAACATTGAGACACCAACATGTAATTGAATAAAAGTGGATCATGAATAATTTTGGGATAAACATAGTTGTTACTTTACTGTTAACATTTAGATTTGCATTCTGCTTCATGTTACCCATCTTTACAAAACTTTTTTTTAAATTTTTTTTATCTTTTTTGTAGTTTTCACAAAGAGTTGACAAATGAGAATTTCCTAGTGCTATGTTATGTTCTTGCTGGTACATTTGACAACAAGCTTAATTTAATTTTTGAAAAGAAAAACAACAACAACAACAAAAAACATTTCAACTATAAATTACAGCTGGTAATGAAGTCCACTTTAACAAATAGTCAGTTCAAATTGAAACTGGATAAATGCTCTCAGTGTACTCAATTTATAGGATGGAGTTGAAGTAGTCTTGCATTGCACATTTTTAACATGTAATATTTCTAAACTGCCATTATCGTGTATTTATCTACTTGTATCCCTGCTTTCTGTTAACCCATTAAAATTTAAAAACACTGTTTCAAAGCCAATCGCAGTTGTACACCCTAGTTGTTTATTTGATTCACATGGAGACTATATTGTTTCATTTATTAATTAACGCCGTGTCTCACATTGAAGTCATAAAACAAATCATACAAGTTTTTTTTTAGATTAGTTACAAAACAAGCTAGTTTGTGGCAATAAAATCATGTCATTGCTGAAAGAATTGGAATATACAAGATTACATGCAACAACCTGTCTGCCCGTACTTTTGCACATAGGTATGCAACGATTTATTAATTAGTTCTTTGTCATATTAAGGAAAATACTTCCTATCCAATTAGGTCTTTACAGGAGAAGAAAACGATTAGATTGAATGAAGGTAATTGACAAGAAGAGGCACAATTAAAATGACAAAAAAAAAATTCTGTATTTAAAGGGACATGTGGCAACACTGAACATAAAGAGTCTCGCTCACCCAACACCACACTGCTTGCAATTAGGGGGATGGACACCCCCTTAATCATGTGAGACAGTACATCTATTGGAAACGTCAAGTACAGCTCTTCCGCCTGGAGGAGTTTATCAAAGGTCTTCACGATCACGCCAATGACGATCCCTTAAAACAAGCAACATGTAGAGGTGAAGGTGTCTAGTCAATAATAACCTTCTTTTTTTGTTGATTCTGAAGCTGTGTGTAAAATAAACTTACCCAGAGCAACAGCCCCCAAACAGGTGAACACCAACAGGTTACTGGATATGTAGCACACAATTCCTTCCCATATCCCAAAGGATTTGGCTGAGGATTGCTCTCCCATGGTCTTACCTTGTCAGAAACAAGAAAACGAGACCTTACGAGATTTCAATATTCAAAGAAAAGTACTGAGGCAAACTTAAGAGAGTGCTGTTTAGTGTTGACATTCAAACGAATGCACATTTTGCTGGCTAAAAATACATAAATTAAATGTCAACAGAAAGATTTACTATGAGAACAGTTAGCCGGCTGTTTAAACAACGGTCACCTAGCAACGCTATTATCTCTAATCTGTAACTGAATAGCAACAACACTTTTATAAAAGAAATAATCAGGTCTTATGTAAATCAGCACTTTTCAGGACAACGTACAGCACTACAGCGCGTGAGAGACCATTTGGAATTAGCGTTAATTAGCAAAAATATCCATACATTACCAATATTTGAAGATCATCTAGGGGGTTAGAGTGGGTTTATTTGTCATCCAAACTGAGGAATTTGAATTAAAACTAAACATTTTAATTCAGGATAACAGCCAACAGCTGACAGAAAGTTCTTAAGGGGTGTGGCCACACTGAGCTGTTGTCTTGCATGTTAATACACAATTTGATCACTATGTTGTTTTATGCAGTCACGGCACATTATCAGTTCAGCTTTACTGCTATTTTAAGTTGATTTCCCCCCCCAAACACATTAGAGAAAATTGAAAAGTGGAGGAAAATTCTGTTCCCTCTCTCCATCCATTCTGTTTCCCTTCATCCATCCATCCATCCATC